AAACTACCATCCTCTAAGAAGCCATAATTATAAGAGACAGGTAAAATTAGTCCTAACCTCCCTACCTCCGTCATAACAACGGTACCATCCAGTACTGACGAAGTAAAAATCTAGTAATGACGGAGGTACTAATAGCTTCCTCCACAGAAGGTACAAATGTCTACAGGAGGCTAACATAGTAATTAGAAAGGTAACAAACGTCATTGACCGGCAGGTACCACTATCTATGACAGGTAAGTCCATAATCAGTACAGATACGGATCTACCAACTATAATGCAGGAACGTTAAATTAATGACGGAAGGTCTCTATAACCAAGGCGGATACATCTACTGACGGAAGTAAAATCCTTATCAAGTAAAAGTTACTGACCCCCATAATCCTATCCGTACTGCGCAGGTACCATCTAGTCCTAGGAAGGTAACATCGTAATGACAGGAAAGGGAAAAATAGTCTTAGGAAGGTACCATCCTAGTACTTTACGCAAGGAACATCATGCTTGAACCACCGGTAATTCGTAAAGGAAGGACACTTTCTTAAGCAGAGTACCACCATGGGAATCAACAGTACATATGTCATGAGCAAGGTACAATCTTACAAAGGATCTAATAGTACTGACAGGACAGGCACTACATAGTCTGACAGGAATCTTAAAACTAATGTAAAAGCAGTAAACGAGTAACGAATCCTACATAGAAGGTCCTAGTACAGACACATCCTCCTACAATGACCAGGTCAATTACTGTAAGAACAACTACATCTGCTACAGACTGAGGAGGTACAAACGTAATGAAGGAAGGTAACATATAGTATGAAAGCACGTACCATCTGTACCAGAAGGCAAGGTCTAACATAATGCAGGAAGGTCAATCCTAGTAAAGAAATCCAACTAGTACATGCGGCTACCATAACTATGAAGCACAGTAATCTTAAGACACGTAAATTATACTAATAAGATACGCAGTCTCATCGTAATGACGGAAGGTACATATTTAATGAAGGAAGGTAACAATATACTACCCCACACCATCTAGTAATGAAGGAAGGCCAAATCTTCTAACGCAAGGTAACTTCTGTACCCAGGCAGGTAATAGTATGAAGAGGAAAGCTAATAAGGACGGTCCAAAGTAAAGGAAGGTAAAAAACTATTACGAGAAGGTAAATTAGTCATGACCGGAAGGTAACATCCTATGACCCAGGACGGTACAACTTATCAGACACGTACAAATACGTACTAAAAGTAACATACTATTGTAATGACAGGAATACATATCTATGAAGACGGACTAATTGTAAATAAAATGTCTAACAACATACCATTGTACTGCCCGGCAATAAAATCGTCTAACA